TATATACTTACGAGACTCTAGTTTAAATCCAAGATCAAGACTCAAGGCACATTAACAGACTCAATATCATAGAATAATGATAAGAACTAATAGGCATCCTAAACATGCAATGCAAGAAGTAACAGACATATAAGCATGCAAATGACAAGTAGAGGCAACTAAGGCATTCAATACAATCAATTAGCAAGTAGTCAAAAAAGCACGTAATTCATCCTCCAACCTTATACCAAGTTCCAACCTTGTAGCTCCCCTCCGTCCATATATCAGTTCCAACCAATACCTCCAGGCCACCCTTATATCCCCACCCCTTAGGCCTCCGGCAACTACATGCCCCCACCGACAAACCACCTTTCAACCACCAACATATCAAGATGGTGCCGCAATTCCATTCAATGATCCACACATCTAGTGCCAATATCAAGGGGTTAGCGCATATAGCTCTAACATGACACCGCAGCACTTATAACCTGAACCATGCTCAACAGCAAGCAAGTCTAAGGTGGGTGTGTGTCTTTAGCACAGTCACCGCTATGGCCTGTACCTTTAGTACAATGACCGGGCACAAGTGGTGCCAACCGCCAACAGTTTATTTTCCACCAATCACAATCTCATCATCATCAGTCACACTAGCCATTGCGCAATGACCACGATACTCATCATCATCAATCAATCAACACATACTCACATAACAAGCAAGACACAACAACAACGACACGTATCACACACAAAATCCTAGAACGATGCCTAAAACACCAAACGAGACTCATACACGACAAATGGGGTACAACAGGACACAACGGTGCCTTAAAACCATCAAGGTCCTTATTCCAAAGTAAGTTCTTCATTGCAGTGAGGCTTAGTGCATGGTACTTTCTACGCGTCCGCCGTCTCTGCTTATCACGCCGAGTCCTTTTTAACAACTATCCTAACACCAACCTAATAAGCATCAATCTTCAGGCCATTTAGACCAGGCAAGGGGTTTACACCACTTGTAGGGTTTTAGAAAGGGTTCGAAAGAGAGGGTTACAAAATGAGAGCAATGGCAATGATTCCAGGCTCATAACGATTTAAGGTTTCCAAGGATGAATTTGATGCAACAAAGAGTAAGTAGAGGCATAACGGGTGTTTAATTGCTTTCAAGGATAACCAAGGATTCGAGGTAAGGGTTTCAACAATTAGGAATATCAAGAGGTTGGGATTCAAGGGCGAATGATATTTTAAGCTGAGGCAAAGGGTTCATAAGTCAACATGACATACTTACCTTGCACTAAAGATTAAGCAAAGGTGTTGTTCATGCACTACTTCACTTCCTTGCATTTAATTGGCGTTCAAGTTTTCTTTACAGGTGGTCTCCCACTTCCGTTACTCCTTTTCCGGATCTGGTCCTGTACTCTCCGTTGTAGAGGTTGGAATTCGGTGAAGGTTGGCGGCGCTAGCGTAAGCCTCGTGGAGGGTTTTGGGCTTACTTACGGTTAGAGCCTTTCGAGCTACAAAGGTGAGAACCGCCACAAACTTCTCTACTTTAGTCTCCTCTGTGGGTACCAATTCAGGTGCGAAACGAGCTAGTTCGAAGAATCGTTTGTGGTATTCCACCACTGTAGCTATCCCCTGTTTCGGGTGGAGGAATTCTGCGTACATGGTTGTCCTTACATGCACGGGGTAGAAACGTCCCCGTAACCGAGCCTTCAGGGTTTCCCAGTTGAATCCTGGTTCTTGCCTACAGGCAGGTCTCTGGTGAACCTACCAAGGATCCGCCTTATGTCAGAAGTAGAATGAGGCTAGTTCCACACGGCGTCCTTCCGGGCATTCCACTACTTCAAAGATCTTGTCGAACGTTCGGATCCATTCTTCGACGGTCGTAAGATCTTCTTCCCCTGTGAAGATAGGTGAGCGATGACTCGAGGCTTGGCGAGCCACGTCTGGGTTCCCGTTCGGGGGAGGTCGGTTGTTTTTATTAAAGATGGCGTTGCTCAACGTCTGGGTGACCTGAGTCAGCTATTGTAGGTTCTGGGTTAACGAATTTTGGGTAGGAGGCTCGGGGGTTTTAGACTGGTTCCTTGTTGGCGTTATTCCAGTGTTTATAGAATCAGTACTGATCGTAACGGTAAGTTAGGGGTTCGCATCCTTACCTTGATTGTATAATTATGGGGAACTCTTAATCTAAACACAGGATAGAGTGAGGAGAAGTTAAGCAGACAAAGATAGATAAACTCACAGCCTCACCGCGCGTCCTAAGATTCTTAAGTCCTAAGTATTTAAGCACTTATGTCTACGGATTAATATCTTAAAGTCTCAAACAAAGAGTACTATCCTAGATGCAGCCTTGATTCTTAAAGTCTAACTCTTAACATCCCAAGTATGTAAGTACATAGAGTTCAAGCTTAATGTCCCAAAGTCTTATCCTAAAGGCATTGTCCTAGGGTCGAAGTTAGGCTCTGATACCAACTGTAACACCCCTAAATTTCAAGATATTTAAAACCTATAAAATAAAGGCTAATCTCTTATTAATTCCCAAACAGAGCATAAACTAGACATAGTGGTCGGGGTGCTATGATACATCTGAGATGGAGAACTCAGATGGACCGGCTAAAATAACTAACAAAGCATAAACCATAACTAATACCCAAATAAAGATCAAGGCACGCAGGCCATCTCATCCAGGCTAGAACTATCTAAACTAAGTCCACGAATCCACTAGCGCGTTCCGAAGCTACTCACTGTCCCTGAAAAACATTCGGTGTAGCAACCATCAGGGAATAATGCTAGTAACCCACTCCAACGCGTTAAGTACAATATAGGTAGATATAAGAAACTCATTTTGAAACTGGAATACATATATACTTACGAGACTCTAGTTTAAATCCAAGATCAAGACTCAAGGCACATTAACAAACTCAATATCATAGAATCAACTAAGGCATTCAATACAATCAATTAGCAATTAGTCAACAGAGCACGCAATTCATCCTCCAACCTTATATCAAGTCCCAACCTTGTAGCTCCCCTCCGTCCTTATATCAGTTCCAACCAATACTTCCAGGCCACCCTTATATCCCCACCCCTTATGCCTCCGGGCAACCACTACTACAGAAAACAGCTTTAACGTCACTATTTTAACGTCGGATTTTAAAAAATCCGACGTTAAATATTTAAAATTATTTTTTATTTTTTAAAAATACATATGACGTTAGTTAAAGTAAATAACCGACGTCATATATTGTTGTAATTAAAAAAAATAGGTACGTCGTCGGCTAATTTAAAATAGCCTACGTCGTAACTTATTTAAATAAAAAAATTGAAATTAAAATAACATACGATGTTGGCTATTTAATTAGCCGACGTCGTACCTATTTTAATTTTTTTTATTTAAATAAGTTACGACGTCGGCTATTTTAAAATAGCCGACACCGTATCGTGAATTTAAAAAAATTAAAAAATATACGACGTCGGCTAATTATATAGCCGACGTCGTATATTTTCAATTTATATACCCTAATAGAACAGAAGCAGTGGCATCCCATTCGATTGAATACAAACAAAAAAAAACAAAAAAACCTCACTAGTCTCCGTCGCCGATCCTCACCACCATACCTCCACGCCCGCCCGCCGCCGGTCATCCACGCCGCTCTCCGCCGTCGCTCTCCACCGCACTGATCTCCGCCGCTACAAATCGGAAGCTCGGACGGACGACGTCGCTCACGGGTCGCCTGTATCGCTGCTCCTCCACGCCCCCGTGGACGACGCCGCTCATCCACGCCCGCCGCTACAGCTCTCCTCCTCCACGTTCACTGCCGGTAAGTAGCTTATATATATATATATATATATATATATATATATATATATATATATATATATATATATATATATATATATATATATATATATATATATATATTAAAATCATTTTTTATCTATTTTGTAATTAGTTTTTTTATATTGTTTGAATTTTATAAATTATTGTGGTGTATATTTCGAAATTTTAGGAATAATTGTGTAAAAATATACTTTTTGATAATTTTGGGATCTACACTTAGTGATTTTGGTGATGTTGGTGTCTATATTTTCACTGCGTAGGTTATTTTCTTGCCCATTTTGCTATGATTTTAAGTCATTGAATTGCCTTAGCGCATGCCCAATCTTTTTTCTTGGCTAGTTAATGAATTTTCAACTTCTTTTAATTTCATTTCTTTCATGTCCGAACAAGATGGTATCTCCACCAAAGCTAAGTGGGACCCTAATGATTTGTTTATTTATTTCTTTTTCTTCTTGCTCTCATAATTGATTCCACCAAATGAAAGCATTGAGTTTATGACCAACAACAGGAACACTTGTATGTATATGAGTCTGTATTAATAATATTTTACTTTAGAGTAATCAATACTTGGTTGCAATGATAAAAATGATTCTTGACTCATGAGCTAGGTAGAGAGAGAAATTAATCGAGTTAAATATATTATTATGTTTTTATGATAATATATTAATGAGTAAATGTTCTATTTCTCATTTGATTTCACTTCTTTAGGTGAAAATATTTGATTGGTTTATTTTTTGTTAGGCGTCAATCGGGTTTGACTAAGTTCAGTCCTTGTCGCGCTCTTCCTCCACTGTTCTCCGCCGGTCCCGGGTACGCAATTTGTCTATTGTGTTTAGCAAGATTCAATTCACATTGTGTTTGGCATGTGCTTTGGTTAGTTAGGATGTATAAGAAAGCATCTAGAATTGACAAATGGTTATTATTATTTTACCTAGATTGGCTTGTATGTGATGGATAAATGCTACTTGTTTGCGTCCATGAAATGCTACTTGTTTGCACTATGTAAATGCTAAAAGTATTGTAGTTGTTGTAGTAGTTATTATTATAGAAATTTGTTAAAATAGTCTTAACAAATGTTTAATTAAGGTTATTATTATTTTAGCTAGATTGGCTTGTACGTCATGGATAAATGCTACTTGTTTGCGTCCATGAAATGCTACTTGTTTGCACTATGTAAATGCTAAAATTATTGTAGTTGTTGTAGTAGTTATTATTATAGAAATTTGTTAAAATAGTGTTAACAAATGTTTAATTAGGGTTATTAATATCTAGATTGGCTTGTACATGATGGATAAAAGTTGGATGATAGCTAATCGACTTAGTACGGAATACGAAGATAGAGTTAGAAAATTTTTAGACTTTGCAAAGTGTAACCTTCCGAATAGTAATAACAGGTGGTTGTGTCCTTGTAAGAAATGTTGTAATCAGAAAAAGTTAGGTGAAGAGGACATATATGATGATCTAATCGTTAATGGGATTAATCCATATTATACACAATGGATTTGGGACGGTGAACACGATGTGTCTACGACATCTAATGTGTATGTTGACAATGAAGATAATGAGTCTGAAGATCAGTTTGATGAAATGTTTCGCGATGTTGGAGAAGAGTTTACCAATCGGTCAAATGAGTTAGATGATTTATTGAATGATTCAAAACAACCGTTATGGCCGGGGTGTAGTACATATTCCCGATTATCTGCTATATTAAAATTATTCAACTTGAAAGCTGGGAATGTGTGGAGCGACAAGAGCTTTACTGCGTTACTTGAAATAGTAAAGGACATGCTTCCAGATGGTAATGAACTTCCCAATAGTACGTATGATGCCAAAAAGATTTTGTGTCCAATGGGTATGGGATATACAAAGATACATGCTTGCCCTAACGATTGCATATTGTTTAGGAATGATTACAAAGACTTCCATGCATGTCCAATATGTGGGGCATCTCGTTATAAAACAAGCGAGAATGTTGCTGGTAAAGTACGTTTGAAAAGGCCACCAGCTAAAGTTTTGTGGTATCTCCCAATTCTTCTAAGATTTAAGCGCCTGTTTGCATATCCAAGTGATGCGAAGAACTTAACATGGCATGCAGATCAAAGGATTTCTGATGGCAAGCTTCGACACCCGGCTGATTCTTCTCAATGGATAACATTTGATAATGCATTTCCTGAATTTGGTCACGAGTCGAGAAATCTTAGACTTGGACTTTGTACTGATGGTATTAACCCCCACGGGAATCTATGTAGCAAGCATAGCTCGTGGCCAGTTATGTTGATAATTTATAATCTACCCCCTTGGTTTTGTATGAAACGAAAATACATATTATTATGTTTGATGATTTCTGGGCCAAAACAACCAGGTAATGATATAGATGTTTATTTGGCCCTTTAATTGATGACCTGAAGCAATTATGGGATGAAGGTGTGTTAGTGTTTGACGCATACCGGAAGGAGACTTTTAAGTTGCATGCAATACTTTTTTGCACAATCAATGACTTTCCAGCTTATGGAAATCTGTTTGGATATAGTGTCAAAGGTCATAAGGCATGCCCCATATGTGAAGATAATACATGTTATCATCAACTTGTTCATGGTAGAAAGACTGTATACATGGGGCATCGGAGATTTCTTGATAAATTTCACCCTTATCAAAAATTAAAAAGGACATTCAATTGCAAGACTATACAGATGCTCCACAACCATTGACTGGGAATCAAGTATATGAACGAGTTGAATGCATCAATGTTACTTTTGGTAAGACTCAGAAGCTTAAATCTCAAAGAGGTAAGAGGTCAAAATCTACAAATGAGAAGAGTCCGTGGAAAAAGAAATCTATATTCTTTGATCTTTCATATGAGAAGACACTAGATGTGAGACACAGTATTGATGTGATGCATGTGAAGAAAAATGTATGTGATAGTCTAGTTGGAACTCTTTTAGACATAAAAGGTAAGTCTAAAGATGGACTCAATGCTAGATTGGATTTGGTTGAAATGTGTATACGAGCTACATTAGCTCCACGTTCCGAAGGTAAGAAAACATATTTGCCTCCCGCTGCTCATACTTTATCAAGAAAGGAGAAAATAAGTTTTTGTGAGTGTTTACGTGGAGTAAAGGTACCACAATGGTATTCATCAAATATCAGTAGACTTGTTGATATGCAAGATTTAACGTTGGTGGGGTTGAAGTCTCATGATTGCCATGTCTTAATGCAACAACTATTGCCAGTGGCTGTTAGAGACATATTGCCTAAAAAGTTGAGATACACCATCATAAGACTTTGTTTCTTTTTCAATGCAATTTGTGGAAAAGTTATTGATCCAGACAAATTAGATGAATTGCAAAATGAAACTATTGTTACACTGTGTCAGCTAGAGATGCACTTTCCACCTTCATTTTTTGATATCATGGTTCATTTGCTTGTGCATTTGGTTAGAGAGATCAAACATTGCGGTCCAGCTTATTTGAGGTGGATGTACCCATTGAACGGTACATGAAAGTATTAAAAGGTTATGTTAGGAACCGATATAGGCCAGAAGCATCTATTGTTGAAAGCTATGTTGCCGAGGAGGTTACTGAGTTTTGTACTGAATATTTGGCAGGAGTTGAGTCTATAGGAATTTCTAAGAATCGGCATGAAGGAAGAATTACTGGGAAGGTTACTCGAGGAGTCAAAGTGAATATTATGCCTCGTGAAGATGTTGAGCAGGCACACTTGTACATCTTGCATAATACAAGTGAAGTCGAACCGTATTTAGATGAACACAAGGCGTTGATTAGGGAGCAAAATCCAAGAAGGACAGACATGTGGATTGTGGGCGAACATAATCGAACTTTTATCAGTTGGTTCAAAAATAAAGTTCTTAAAGAGAATAATGTTTCTGAAACTGTTTCATGGTTAGCACATGGTCCTGGTTTGGATGTCTTATGTCATAATGGATATGACATTAATGGATTTTCTTTTTATACAAAAGCTCAAGATGAAAAAAGCACTATGCAAAACAGTGGAGTTACTTTGGTTGCAAATTCAATGCATTTCAGTAGTTCGAAAGATCCAAATCCCGTGTTTGTAGAGTTGTCATATTATGGTGTGATTGAAGAAATATGGGAAGTTGATTATGTTTCGTTTAGGGTCCCGGTGTTTCGGTGTAGATGGGTAGATAATAAACATGGTGTAAAAGTTGATGAGTTAGGATTTACCCTTGTAGATTTTAATTGGGAAGGACACAAAAATGAGCAGTTTATAATGGCATCCCAAGCAAGACAAGTCTTTTATATTAGTGATCCTTGTGACAAAAAATGGTCCATTGTTCTTCATGGAAAGAGACAAACTGTTGTAGATGAGAATGAAGATGTTAGTTTGATATTGAGGAAATACCACCATTTTCGTCAAGTATATTGCCCCCCGTTATTGATAATGAGATAGATGAAGTGCATGCATCACGAGATGATCATCGTGAAGGGATATGGGAGAATTGATTATTATATGTAATGCTTTAATTAGATATTTATTATGTTTTTATATTTTCTTATTCTAATATTTCTATATATTCTAATAATTTTTCTTTCTAAACAGGCGTATGGATTCCACAGATGATGGTGGTACTATAGAAGGTACTCATAATATTCAAAGTAGTACTACTAAGAAGAGGGGTGCCACTCATATGCAAAAAATCATTAAGCAACGTAATGCTTTTGGGAAACTACAAATTGAGCTTGATGGATTCGAGCCTGTCTACGGGAAAGCTGGCAATGAATTTAAAAGTTATGTTGGATTAGTGGGACGAATCAATACTCCTATCACAATAAAAGAATGGTCGGATGTCCCAGAAAACACTAAAACTACTATTTGGAAAGAAATCCTGGTAAGCTAGATTTAGATTTATTCAAAAAGTTAATATAATTACATTTCCTACTAATAAATATTCTTGTTTTGTAGAGTACTTATGATATTCCCGACAACATTGATATGAAGAGACATTGGTTAAGCTATGTGAATGACCGGTGGAGAGATTTTAAAACAAAATTGGTGAACAAGTATATATACGGTTGCTATGCAGGTCAGAACCCTTGTACTTATAATTACATTTCTTACTAATAAATAATCTTGTTTTCTTACTAGTATATATACGGTTGCTATGCAGGTCAGAACCCATGTAAAACATACGACTTCCTTGAACAAGAGACATGGAATGAGTTTTATCAGTCGCGTACGGGGTGAATCATATGAGATATCATTATTATTCTATCAATATTTTGAACAAGGGATATGGAATGATGTATCATATGATTAATACTTTGTATGTATGTAGGCAACAAGGAAAAAATATCAAGACATACAAGCTAAGAATATTCATCCACATCTTTTAGCTCGAGGAGGTTATAAAAGGTTGGAGAAGATGATGATGGACGAGAAGTTGAAAGAACAACAAGCATGTGCTGATGCAGATCCGTCGTATACAATGAGTCCTCCAAGTCCCATACGTAGAGCCGAAAAATGGAAGAAAGCAAGAATGGACAATTCAGGAAATTATGGCATTGATTCAACTAGATTGGTGGCGGAAAAAATTGTAAGTACATATGTTGTCATTTACTACAGTAATAGTAATTATTATTGAATAATTTTTATATATGTTAGGATGCTCTTGAGTTGCAAATTTCTCAAGGAGAATTTGTTGAGGATGGAAGAAAGAATTCATTGACTGTTGCATTGGGTACCGATGAGCATTGTGGACGTGTTAGAGCCATGGGAAGAGGACATGGCATCAAAAGTGTATTTGGCCATGCAAAACGTCGCCAAAAGACTCCTGAAGATGTTTAACGAATGGTTGATGCTGCTGTTGCACAAGCATTAGAAAATCAAAAGCAGCAAAATATTTCTGAACGGGAGGAATTTGGTCAACGATTAACTGAGCAATTTGAGGCAAAAATAGCTTGTATGATATTTCAATTTAGTGCTATGCAAACTCCTTTACAACCAAAGCAGGTGGATGACGTACTTCAAGATGCTGTGCCACCACCTCCAAGTGACAAAGCTAGTTCCCCAGACCCTTTTAGTAATTTACCGGCTGTAAGTATTCGTTTATAGTTATCTTATTATTAATTATCAATAAAATTTTATATGATTTTTAATTAAAAATTATTGTATTTAGGGGCACGATGTCAATTGTTCTTAGAAGATCCATTTAGACGTCCAGTGGCATATGGGACAGCTTACAGTGGTGGACAAGTTCATGGGGTTGTACTAGATGTAAATAATGTGAAAGTGAGTGTAAATGAAGTTAGTGATCCAACTGCACATGTACCATTCCCCATCGGTGAGGTTCAACTTGTAAGTGATGCAATTCAACACTTTATCATTTGGCCAAAGAAGCTGGTAGAGTTATGTACTGAAGCTAATGCGGTATGTACACTGATAATATTTCTATTTTAAAATATTAAGTAATTTACTTTTTAAAATAATAATTCTTACTTGTAATATAATTCACAGTTAAAAGACAATACCAGTAGTGTTGTTCCAGATTCTTTTACTGCTGATTGCAAAAAGGCTTTTACAATAGCTCGCCGTTTCGAACAGAATCTTGTGATCCATGTGGCTCGTGGTATTATGGGCAAGATTGAGTATGACTTGCACCTTGAAAGTGTGGAGATAATGCATTTCTTAAGTATGGACACCATCGATGTTTCTCTAGTTCAGTTCTTTATAAGGTAATAATAAGTTCTTTATGATTATTCATGCATAATAGTTTTATATTTATATAATTGGTAATCTATATATAATTGGTTGTGTTTGTGAATAGGGGTATTTACATTAGTTTTGAGTTGGCATCAAAAGACACGTGTGGCTTCCTAGATCCATATTGGATTCAACCAAAAATGAATATAATAATACAAAAGAGAGGAAATCATAAATACCACCATGCAGTATGGGAAGAAAAATGTATATGTATCCCCATACGTTCTCAAGTAAGTATTAATTACGTTTTAAATAAAAGTGCTTATATATAATATATTTTTATTGTATATTATATTTACTTATAACTAATAAATTACTTATTTGTAGTGAGCATTGGATGCTGATGGCGATTTGTCCTAGATTAAATGAAATTTTTTGATTTGATTCATTTGGTCATGGGCCGCGTGAAGACATTAAACATATAATGGAAACGTATGTAAATTTTTATAATGAATTAGTAGTTATTATTAAACTAGTGATGCCAAGTATTTACATATATTTTATGTCTTATATTCTTCCAAAAGGCTGAACCCCAACCCTTATTTTTTGTCTGATATGAATAGGTGTATGGCTGCAACAAGCATGATGAATGGAAAGAAACAATCTCGTCCACCAAAATGGACTACATGTTTGGTAAGTACTTCATTCACTTTGTAAAACTTGCAAACTTATTATTTTTTATTAATTTTTTATAATTTTATTGTAATTCAAATGTAGTGTGCTATACAAAAAGGAACCACCGAATGTGGTTATTTTGTGATGAAATTCATGTGGGAAATTGTTTCGAACAACCTAAGCAAAGGAATGGATAAGGCAAGTAATTTAATAATACATATTTCTTCTTCAAATGTTGTTTAAAATATTTGCTTATTTATTATTTTTATTTCTTTTGAACTTTGTAGATTTTGGAAGATGAGAATGATATTCATTGATTAGTTCAGGAAAAACAGTTAAGATAGAATACTAAGTAAATATGTTTAACGTAAACTACTCCTACACAATAGGCTAGTCATACTAGTAAACTATTGACTTATTCTAATACAATATGAATACCAATAATAATAATAATAATAATAATAATAATAATATGGCTAACACTCCCCCTCAAGCTCAAGGAGGGTGCGCAACCACATTGAGCTTGTCTCGTAAAGCATCAAAGCGCGGGCCAGGTAACGGTTTGGTGAAAATATCTGCTAGCTGGTCCTTGGTTGAAATGAAATTTACTGTCATATCTCCGGATGCAACCTTATCTCCAACAAAGTGGTAGTCAATTTCCACATGTTTAGTCCTGGCGTGAAAGACCGGGTTAGCGCAAAGATAGGTAGCACCAAGATTATCACACCATAGAGTAGACGGTTCCCCACTATGTAGACCTAGCTCACATAGTAAGGACACAACCCACGTGACCTCAGCAGAGACGTCAGCGAGAGCTTTGTACTCAGCCTCCGTGGAGGAGCGAGCAACAGTGCGCTGCTTCCTAGATAACCAAGAGATCAGATTAGTCCCAAGGAAAACAGCATATCCGCTAGTACTCTTTCTATCTACCGGGCAACCGGCCCAATCGGAATCTGAAAAGGCGTGAATGGTAGTCGAGGGAGAAGACGTCAGTCGTAGACCATGGTTCAGGGTCCCTTTGATGTACCGAAGGACCCGCTTTACAAACCCCCAATGATCAGTAGTGGGAGAATGCATGAATTGACATAACCGATTCACAGCAAAAGATAAGTCAGGCCTCGTAATGGTTAAGTACTGAAGTGCTCCAACTATGCGGCAATATTGAGTCGGATTGTCACACGGTTCCTGAGACGGGGAAACAGTGTGAGTAACTGCAGCAAGTGTGGCAAGTGGTTTGCACTCAGACATTCCAGCGCAAGATAGTATGTCATTCATGTAACGACGTTGTGAGAGTATCATCCCATAGTCAAGCTGAACCGTTTCTATGCCGAGAAAGAACCCGGGCGTACCAAGATCCCGGATTTTGAATGTGTCTGATAGTCGGTGTAGAAGTGTGTTGATGAGGGTTGCATCATTGCCCATCATAATTATGTCATCAACATATACGAGCAAGTAGACCCGTGATTTGCCAGATGTGTAATGAAAAAGAGAAACATCCGTTTTCAATGGTGCAAAACCTGCAGAAAGCAAATAGTCATGCAGCCTCTTGAACCAAGCTTGGGGAGCTTGTTTCAGGCCGTATAAGGAGCGCTGATGATGGCACACATAATCTGGATGTGTGGGATCTTCATACCCCGGTGGCTGCTTCATGTAGACAGTCTCAGATAGATGCCCATTAAGAAAGGCGTTATGAACGTCTAGCTGACGGAGTGTCCAATGATGAGAAACAGCAAGAGAAAACAGCAGAAGTACAGTAATCGGTTTGACCACCGGACTAAAGGTGTCGAAGAAGTCCTCGCCTGCTACCTGATTAAAGCCTTTGGCAACGAGCCGGGCTTTATAACGCTCAACTGAGCCGTCAGCAGTACGCTTGGTCCGGAATACCCACTTGCACCCGATTACATTCATGTGGGGTTCGGGAGGCACCAGGGACCAAGTATTGTTGTGTAAGAGTGCATTGAACTCTTGGTCCATGGCTTCACGCCATTGCGGGTGGCCAACAGCCTGAGAATAGCATGTTGGGTCCGTAGTTGCGCTTAACCGGTGAAACTCTTCGCCCGTTCCTCGAGTCATACGGCGAAGCCGCATTGTATGATCCCGAACTCGTGTCTGGGCTCTTCGGGCTCTGACTCCACGAGTCTTGACAAGCCCTTCAATAGCCAATGGGGGTGGCGCCTCTTGTGCCAAGGGAACCGGACTAGCCGACGGCCCTGGCATAGCCTCGTGGGACACCACCGTAGGAGTAGACACAGTCTGAGTTAAAATTGGACTGGTCGCCCACGGTAGTGCCGGTGTTGATCCGGTGTTGTCAACCTGTTTCTCCAATTCTACAAAAGGGAAGACATGTTCGTCAAAGCGCACATGGCGACAGATATAGACCTTTCCAGAATCAACGCATCTGTACCCCCTAAAGGACAACGGGTAACCTAAGAATACGCAGGGTGTAGACCGATACTCCATCTTATGCCGATTGTAAGGCCTAAGATGAGGGTAGCAGCGACACCCAAACACACGAAGGAATGTGTATGGCGGAGACACTTTGTGTATAAGACTGTAAGGACTTTGGAACTGTAAGGCTGACGACGGTAGATAATTTATTAGACAGGTAGTTGTTTAAAAAGCATAGTCCCAATATTGTAGTGGGACTGAACCTTCGGCCAGTAGGGCCAATCCGGTTTCGACTATATGCCGATTTTTGCGTTCTACCCGCCCGTTTTGTTCGTGCGTATATGCACATGATTGTCTGTGGTTTATACCAAGATTAGCAAAAATGTTATGTAATTTTCGGTACTCCCCACCTAGATCCGATTGGATGGATTTGATAGAACGCGAAAATTGGCATTCTACCAGGACACGAAACACCTCAAAAGTTTTATATGTATCTGATTTTACCCGTAAGGGATAAAACCAAGTGAAACGGGAAAAATCGTCAACGAATAATACAAAATACCTATAGCCACTACTGGAAATTACATGAGAAGGACCCCAAATATCAGTATATATCAAATCTAACACATTTTGACTATTGAAAGGAACCCTATCTAAAGGAAATCTGGCTGATTTTCCCATACGACACGATTTGCATGATTCCAGTAAGGCGGCTTTATTTGTTGCGACCGGGCAGGTTTTTAGAACACGACTCTGAACGCTTGCATGAGGATGGCCAAGCCTTCGATGCCACACATCGGGAGTGGTACGGGAAGTGAGGTAGGCAAAGTGAGACTGTGACATCGGAAGTTTATATAGACCACCCGAGGTGGGCCCTTTAAGCAGTGTTGCCTGAGTTATGGAATCCTTCACAAAAAAACAGTTCTTGTGAAATTCAAAATAGCAGTTATTTTCATTAGTAAACCGCTATACTGACAGTAAAGGAACAGATAAATCGGGAACAAACAAAACATTAGACATTTTTAGTAACTTAGATTCAGATGGTACAGACGCTTGACCAACTCGGGAAATTATCAAACCTGCACCATTTCCCACGCGCAGAACATCGCCACCCGTGTATTCGCCTGATTGGGACATCAGACTTGCGTCTGGTGTAGCGTGAGCCGACGCGCCGGTGTCGGGAAACCACCCGGCCATCGAACCCGAGGCAGATTCGTCGCCGGCCACTGCGACGTGAGCCTGCGCAGCTGACTGTCCGGCGTAGCGCTGGTAACACGTCACGATGGTATGGCCCTGGGCGCGGCAAATTTGGCAGCGAGGAGTGTCGTTCCGTCCTCGTCCCCGACCTTGGCCTCCTCGTCCACGATTGCGACCCCCGGACTATCCACTGCCATGCCGGCCGCCGCCCACACTGCGGCCTCGACCGGCGTAATGCGCCGTTGGTGGAGCGGCAAAACCAGCCTCGGATCCTGGAAAATC